TTGTGACCGGCTTGAGAGCAGGCACACCCTCTTAAACATTTTTTGTATCCCCAGTGTGTTTGCAGGAGCTCAATAAATGATAGACTGAATGAATGAATGAATGAATGGAGGAGGACGAGGCAGCGAGTCTGAGGAGGGTGTGGTAGCGGTGCAATCCCGGAGCCCAGCTCAGAGGTAGTAACCTTCAACTCTCGCCTAAAAAGTTCACGACGGTGGGGGGGAGGGGGGGTGGCCAGGACGAAGAACAGCACCGGTATTTGGCCCCGTCCAAAATCCTGCTCCGTTTGGGGGCGAGGCTAGGAGGAAGGCTTAATCCGCTTCTGCCCGTCAATTGACCAATCACCGCCTCAAGGGGGCGGGACTTCAATCTGTTCCCGCCCTTCCCCTTGGAGAGTAAATACGTTTGGGCGCTGTTCAAACGGACCAATGAGTGCTCGATGTTTCCTCGGGTTGCTTCTCAACGATTGGCAGGAGTTCCTTGTCCCGCCCTCCTTGTCACGCTTTCTGCCCCACCCCTTCGCACGCAAGATGGCGGCGCCCAGCGGAGTAGAGGCCGCGTTTGGGGTTTGCTGAGGCTGACTCCCTTTCCCACTACCCCTTTGGACGCAAAGCGCCGCGAGCCCAGAGGACGGGGGCCGGGCGGGGACAGGGGTACCTGCGTAGCTGGACCGCGAGCCCGCGCCCAGCCTGCGCCGCCCCCGCCCCGGCCCCAGCCCGAAACCATCCGTTCCCGGCCTCCTCTCGGTCCGACCCACTGCCCGGCCGTGGTTCGCCACCACCAGGCCTCCAAAGCTGAGCTCTCTCCTCCAGCCCGGGCTCACCTCCACTTTAGAGATGTTTGGCCTCTTCCCTCCCAGACAGCCCGCCTTCAAAACCGGGACTCCGGGACTGGCGCCTGGCCCCCTTTCTCTCCACTGAGACTCCACCTCGCTCTAACCCACTTCTTCCTCAGATTCTTGGTTCTCCCTGGCTTGGAGACTGCTCACTTCCCTTCCACATTAATCCCTGACGTCCCCAGATAGTATCAGCCTTGACACCCCCCCTTAGCCTAGAGCCAGACTTCCTTTTGGATTAACCTCCACAGCCCTATCATGGAGGCTGTGTACATGGTAGTGAATGGGGTGGGCCTTGTGCTGGACCTGCTGACCTTGGTGTTGGACCTCAACTTCCTGCTGGTGTCCTCCCTCCTGGCTTCCCTGGCCTGGCTCCTGGCCTTCATCTACAACCTGCCACACACGGTACTGACTAGTCTTTTGCACTTGGGCCGCGGAGTCCTGCTTTCTTTGCTGGCCTTGATGGAAGCCTTGGTCCGGTTCACCTTCGGGGGCTTGCAGGCCTTGTGTACCTTGCTGTACAGCTACTGCTCTGGCCTGGAGAGCTTGAAGCTCCTGGGGCACCTGGCCTCTCACGGGGCACTGAGGGGCCGGGAGATCCTGCACCGGGGTGTCCTCAATGTGGTCTCCAGTGGCCATGCTTTGCTGCGCCAGGCCTGTGACATCTGTGCCATTGCCATGAGCCTGGTGGCCTACGTGATCAACAGCCTGGTCAACATCTGCCTCATCGGCACTCAGAACCTTTTCTCCCTGATGCTGGCCCTGTGGGACGCGGTGATGGGGCCGCTGTGGAGGCTGACGGACGTTGCAGCTGCCTTCCTAGCCCACATTTCCAGCAGTGCCGTGGCCATGGCCATCCTCCTCTGGACCCCCTGCCAGCTAGCACTGGAGCTCCTAGCGTCAGCTGCCCGCCTCCTGGCCAGCTTCGTGCTTGTCAACGCCACCGGCCTGGTGCTGCTGGTTTGCGTGCTGGCAGTGATGGTGACCGTCCTGCACCCGGACCTCACCCTGAGACTGGCCACCCGGGCGCTCAGTCAGCTCTGTGCCCGGCCGTCCTACCACCGGCTCCGAGAGGATGTTGTGCGGCTGTCTCGCCTAGCCCTGGACTTGGAGGCCTGGCGCCAGGTCTGGAGCCGCAGCCTGCAGCTGGCCACCTGGCCGAACCGGGGAGGGGCTCCTGGGGCCCCTCAGGGCGGCCCTAGGAGGGTGCCTGCAGCCAGGACCTGGCGACAGGACACTCTCCCCGAAGCAGGGCCCAGATCGGAGGCCGAAGAGGAGGAAGAGGTCAGGACGGCCAGAGGAACACCTGCCCGCGGCCGGGAGAGGCTCAATGAGGAGGAGTCTGTAGCTGGGCAAGACCCCTGGAAGTTGCTCAAGGAGCAAGAGGAGCGGAAGAAGTGTGTCATCTGCCAGGACCAGAGCAAGACGGTGCTGCTTCTGCCCTGTCGGCACCTCTGTCTGTGCCAGGCTTGCACCGAAATCCTCATGCGCCACCCCGTCCACCACCGCAACTGCCCGCTCTGCCGCCGGGGCATTCTGCAGACCCTCAACGTCTACCTCTGAAGACTCCTTGCCCGCCTGCCCACCGTTCCGTGCTCCATGAGGCCACCTGCGCTAGGACAGCTTTAACACCTGACCTCTCGGTTCCTGGCCTGAAGCCCCTCCCGCCCCCGTGGCCGTCACGCCGAGCCTCCCAGCCATACGCCCCGGACGCTGAGACAGGATAACTCTGGAAGACTGTGAGCTGGGTGGGGCAGGGTAACAGCTCTTCCTTACCCAGTGCGTCCCTGTGTGATGCCAGAGGTGGTGAGTGTGTCACTATGCAAGGCCCTGAGACTGCTGTGGACTCCCCTCCAGCTCGCCAGGGCCCATCCAGATGCCAACCTCTGGGGCTCCCCCTCTCCTTCTGGTTTTTCTGTTGGGGACTTGCAGGTCCTCTCCCCGGCCCCTCCCCGTTTCCTCCCCAGCTTCTGCAGCCACCACACATCACTGTCGTTTGGATGTTTTGGTAACTCAAGGGCCTTGGAACGAACTTGAACCTTTGCTTTCAGCCAGAGCACCTGTGCGCTGGTAGGCCTTGGGGATAGTAGCTCTCAGGTGCCCTTCGAGTTACCACTTCTGCCTGTCTTGATCTTCTGAGGCTTCCTCCCAACCTGATCCAACAGCGAGGATCAAGAGTTTACCCCTTGGGGGGGTGGGTGTCTGCACCTGGCTTCGGGACCATATTACCCTCTGGCACCCCAGCTCCATTGGGAGCCTCAGGAGGGATAACCAGATTTCTACTCCTACCCCTTTCACTCCCCACATCACAGAGAACAGTGGCATTTCCCTTCTGTTTGTCTCTCCCTGGCATTGGGGAGGGCAGACTGTGCACATTTCACTAGGGTCCAAATACGGAAGGGGCCAGCCTAGGAGTATGCAGCTCCCTGATGGGTCTCTCTGGCCCAGATGGGTCTGCCGGCCCAGTTTCTGGTGAATAAATTTCTGTTGACAGCTCTGACAGCCTCGGTGTGCATCCTTACAGGGGTGAGCAGTTGGTCAGGGAAACTGATGCTGCAGCAGGGTCCTTCAGTCCTGCTGGAGTTACTGTGGTCTGTGGGGGACCTGGTGGGGGAGGAGATAAGATAGGATGTGAGGACTGTGCCTTGGGGACAGCCCGTGCCAGGTGTGGCTGGATTAGCTTTCGCCCCGTCCAATTGGTGCCCTCATACACCTGGCTTTTGGAAAGCCCTCCCTATCTTTCCTACTTTTGTCAGAATGAAGCCCTAGTAGAGAGGAGTGTGACCGTTCTCATCCCTTGAGTCAGCTTCCCAGCTTCTCAGTGCTGCCCTTCCCAAGAGGGAATTTGGGGTTCTTGCTGCCTGGAGTCCAGTGTCCAGTCTACCGTCTGATCCCTGGAGGAGCCTGGTGCTTGTCTTTGTGTCGCTTGGGCTGGAGTGGGGCCGTGAGGCCTCCTGGCGGAGAGCTGGGAGCTGAAGCCCAAGACCCGATCCCAGTCCCCACCCTCATATCTGCCCTCATAGGCCCAGCAAGAGGGAGGGGGGACGTTCCCACATAATTGTATGTTAAATCTAGGAGCATAATGCCAGGGGCAGCCTTCTGGAAGCTGTGGGGCGGTTGGGGGTGGGGGGAGGAAGGGTAGGTCGGAAAGAAACTGAGAAGAGGCCCCTCACATTCTCTGGGGGTTGAGAGGCTGAACTGATTGTGGGTCTGGCAAGCCCTGGTTTGTTAGTCATTGGGGTGGGGGTGGGGCTGGGGCTGGCTTCTGAAGGTCAGAGGAGGGGAACCTTGAAGGGGCTTTGTGGCTAGCCTCAGACTTAGTGGCGCGGCCCACCCAGGCTATGCCCAGCACGGTGGGGGGAGTTCACCACATCCATCTTGGAGTTGGGAGGCCTGGGGAGGGCTTTTCTCCCCTCCCCCCAACCCTAGAGAGGGAGCTGAGCAAGGGGAGGCTTGGCTCCTTCCAGTCTCTGTTTAATGTGAGGATAAACATTTTATGAGAGAGGATAAACTTCCTGAGCTGGGAGCAAAGGAACCCCTTTTCCTGCACCCCCATCTGGAATTACATTAGCCGACCTCAATAACCGTCCTCCCCCTAACTACCCTAACAGTCGCGAGCTCAAGCTCTCCAGGATCTTTGCTGCATTCTGGAGTTGGGACGCCCCCTTGTGGTCAGCTCAGAAACGACTTATCTCTAGCCACCCCGGAACACACCACTTCCCTGGCGTGGGGGACAGAGAAATAGCTTTCCAGTCACCTAGAGACTGGACAAGCAGCCAGAGCAGTCACAGATGCAAACCCGGGGACCCTTACTGTGGATCAGGGTAGGGGTGTGTGTGGTGAGGGTAGCCCCCGCCCAGTTCATATGACATCTTTGAGTCAGAAAAAGGTGGCCAGAGCCCCATGCCAGAAGGGCACCCTCCTCAGCCAAGCGCTCCTGTCCACATCCAACACAACTCAGGGGACAGCTAGCTCTACGGAGCGGCTTCTCATTCCCTGGGGCCTGCTTCCTCGATCTCCTGCCCCAGGGCTCATCCAGCCCAAGAGCCCTTCCTTCTGCCTGAGCACCACCCTGCCCATCTTCCCCATTGTTCCCTCTCCCCGCCCCCATCCGCACCATCAGGGCATCCCCACCGCTAAAGAAGAAAGGCTGAACTGAGCCAGTAGGACTTTTTTTTTTTTTTTTAATTGAATAATCTCTGAGAAAAGGGCCCAGGAATAGGAGGGACAAGGGAGGACCCAGAGAAGCAGAACACCAGGAAGAGGGCACCCCCCCTCTGGGATCCTGGGCCAGAGCAACTGGGGACCCACACCTGCCAGCACAGAGCGCTCCTTTGGTTTTGGGCAGAAATCCAGCCACTGCCCCTCACTGCCAGCCCTGATCTCAGACAGCCTCTGTCCCCATTCTCTGCCAGCAGCAGGACTGGAGTGGTTCACAAGATCCCAAGGGGGGGCCAGCCCTCCCGGGACGATGTGGCTGTGAGTGTCACACCGCTCACTTTCCAGTGGGCATCAAGCAAAGACAGGGGAGTTGTGCCAGTCAGAATACACCAGAAATCCCGAGAAGGTGCTGTCTGTCTTGATGCTGGCATAGATGCCAACGTAATCGCCCACGCCCACCTGCACCCACACCTGGTCCTCTGGCTCCAGCCTCACCATGGCGCCCCCGGAGAGCGAGGCTGGTTTGGGCCACCCCCCAAAAAACTGGAAGAAAGAGGCGATGGACTCGCCATTCTTGACCAGATCGAACTGCAGGCTAGCCCGGTAGACGGTGGCGTGGACCGCGAAGTAGTAGACCCCGGGCACCCGGCAGGTGAACTTGCCGGTGGTGGCGTCGTAATGTCCCTGCTCGTTGACCAGCACGCGGTCGAAGGGTAGGGGCGCGTCGGACGGCGGAGGCACTCGGCTCTCGGAGCGCTTGGCGCTGAAGGCGGAGCGCGGAGGCACCGAGCACTCGCCCGCAGGCCCGGTGGCTCCCACGGGTCCCGTCTCTCCTCGTGGCCCGGGCTCCCCCCGGGGCCCCGGCAGCCCTGCGGGGGTGCGGGGCGCGGTTAGGGCCAGAGTGGCGGCGGCGGCCGGGGGCGCCGCTCAGCACCCTCCCCACCCTGTCTGGGGCTCCCGGCCGCCGCTTCCTGGGCGAGGGCCGCCCTGCCGCTCGCCACCCGCCCCCCCGGGCCCCGCCGCCCGCAGTAGACGGTCCCCGGAGCCGCGGCCGCCGCGCGCTGCGTCACCCTCCCAGCGCCCCGCTCCCGGAGCCCGGCGGCGCCCCCTGGCGGGACCCCGAGCCCCGGCCCTCGGCCCGGCCGGCGCGGACGGCCCCGTGGACGGCGACCCCGCCGCCTTCTTACCCGGACTCCCGCCCTCGCCTTTCTCTCCCGGAACCCCGGGCGCGCCGTCGCGGCCGTCGCGGCCGTCGCGGCCGGGCAGGCCCTGGCTGCCGTGGTGGCCCGGCGTGCCGGGAAGGCCGGGGTGCCCCGGGCACAGGCTGGGGATCTTGTTGTCGTCCAGCGGGGGCGAGCCGGCCGCCAGGCCCAGGAGCAGCAGGGCGACGAGCGGTCTCATGGCGCTGGCACGGGGGCTCCGGCCGCCGGGGTCCTCTCGCAGTCTGCGGGCCAGGCGGGACGGGAGTCGGGACCCAGAATCCCGGCACCGGCCTCGCTCCCCGCCCCGGCGCGGCCGGGTGGGTCCCCACCCCACTGCCACAGGCCTGAGACTGAGCGGCTGCGGGGGGGGGGGATGAAGGGGGGGCGCCCCCAGAGCCAGGGACCCGGTGGGCGCCGGGGAGTGGCGGGGGACAGGAGAGGCTGGCCGTTCCCCCCACCCCTCCCAGTGCCCCGCCCGCTCCAACTTTCCCCCAGCCCCTCCCGCTCCCACCTCCCTCCCACGCTCCGCCACACTCACCCCCTCCCGTCTCCTGGGGCCTCCGTGGGGCGCTCGCTACTCCAGACCCTCCAGCTGACCTCTGCCCCGCCCCTGCGCGTCTCCCCTGCGAGGCGTCCCCTGCCCTCGGCGGCCCCCTGGTTCGGGTGCACTCCCTGCCGGCTCCGGTCTGCTCCTCCCAGACTCCAAGAGGAAACCAGTTGTTCAGGGGCCAAGAGCTCCCGGCCGGGAAATAGCAGGGAAATAACTCGTGGTGTCGCCCGGCCACGGGCCAAGGTTTGGGGGAGAAAGGAGGGGGAGGGAGTCTTAGCTGGGCACAGGGAGGCAGAGCTGTGCGAGACAGACACTCGGGGCACCCACTGCTCCAAGGAGCCGGGAAGGAGAGATGGTGCCCTGACACAGACCAAGGACAAGACGAGTCCAAGGGAAATAGAAGCTGAGAACGGAGGGGGAGAGTTCTAGAGGCAGTTGGACAACTGGACCCCAGGCCTCAGAACAGCGCCTGCCACATTACTAGGCACTCAATACATTTTTGTTGAATGAGTGAAAGAGTCAGAAGGCAGGTGGTGGAGAACCTGAAAAAGTAGGTCTCCCCAGAGGGGAAGGCAGGAGATTGGAAATTGGGGTCAGAGGCTCGGGTGGGAAGCAGTCCTCACGGGCAATGGCACCGTGTGGAGTTGGGGCAAGTAAAGGGACAGGGAAGCTTCCATTAGCCCTGCCGAGGACTTCTCTTTTCCTTCCCTGGGAGGCTCCAGACGGGATGGGCAGAGTCCCATGCTGGTCCTCCTTCCTTTGTCCCCTGCCTGCCCGCCCTGCTCGGCAAAGGAGGATGGGCAGGCAGAGGGGCACGGGCCTGCCTCAGGGTCAGGGCTGGGCACAAGCCTCCAGGCCAGCCGCCTCAGGTAGCCTGTTGCAGTTGAAAGGCCAGGGGGTACCCAGTAGAGCCAGGCCAGACTGGCACTGGTGCTCAGCCTCCTGGCAGACAGAGCGGCAGGGGGGAAGGACACTGCCTATGGGGGTGCAGCGGGGCACAAGCAGGCCGCAGAGGAGCCTCCGGAAACTCTGGTAGCAGGGCAGACTTGTCAGGCTCTGTGGAAGGAGGAGATCAGCCCTCAGGCACCCCATTCCCGAGGCTCCCTCCCCTTCCTGTGGGTCCCTCCTAATCTCTGCCTAGAGCACCTTGTAACCTCTGAGGATCTCCATCACCTCCTCCTGGGTGGCTATGCCCACCCAGACGTTTGGGAAGGCCGTGGCGTTGTAGCTCAGACCGATGCACATCTCCACCTGGACGGGCTCGCAAGCCAGCTCTGTAAGGGGAGAATTACTGGGGGGGGGGTACACGGGCTGGTGACCTGGGGCAAGTCACCCAACCGCTCTCTCTGGGTCGTTTGGGGGTTGTTGTGGGAGTCAAAGGAGATAATATGGGGAGATGCTTTGCACACATCACAGGAGCCCATTATCCACAAGAGCCTGCCCAAACATCCTTCACCAGCCCTGGGCATGATGCAGGTGTCTCTCTGATCTCGGGGGCACGGGGCACGGACATTGGCAGGGCCCGCTGGGCATCTGGAAGGAAAGCCCCTGCTCTCACTCTCATCATCACCTTTTTTTTTTTTAAGTAGGCTCCACACCCAACATGGGCTTGAACTCACGACCCCAAGATCAAGAGGCGCATGCTCTACGGACTGAGCCCGCCGGGCGGCCCTCACCTTCTTCTCCGAGGTGGGCTGTGTAGAGGGGCTCTCTGCGTGACAAGGCTGGGCCGGTTCATGGAGCCCCAACCGTCAACTCCCAGATGCCCACTTGCCTTGGGGGTGACGTTAAGTACCATTGTCACCACCGGGTGAGAATCCCTCCCGGACTCTGCGGAGCCCCCCCATCGGGGAGGACAGCGGTGGGCTGTCATGAAGTGTGCCAGTGGGGTTTCTATGAATGCGCCCAGCCTGCTCCAGCCTCCCTCCCCGCCAGGGCTGTGGGGCGGGCTTCTCACCTGGGGGCGGGAGCAAGGGGCTGCTGCAGCCGTCATCGCCGCTGTCCAGGCAGCGACTCCACGTGTCACACGTCCACTGCACGCTCTTACAGCCTCCGTCACGGCAGGAGAACTCTCCGGGCCCACAGGGATCTGTAGGCATAGGGGGCATGGCGGTGCCCTGGGGCAGGCCTGTGCCCCCACACTGCCTTTGCGGTGCCCTGAGCGGGGTCCAGAGCCCTTCCTCGTCCTCCTGGAGGCGCCTCCGCAGCCACACCCGCTCACCCAGGGCCACCTACTCTCTGTGGCATTGAGGGCCCGGTAGGTGGCAGAGAAGCCCCCGGTGCTGAAGCCATGGTCTGTCCTAAAGAGCACCACCAGCTGCTGGTGCGAGGAGATGAGGCGAGGTGGTGGCTCTGCTCCACAGAACCTGCGGGAGGCAGAGAGCAGACCTGGGCAGGGGGCCCTTGGCCTCCCCCCACCCCCACCCGGGGGTGTTCCCGCAGGCCTCCCTCTGAGCTGCTGTTCTGGGCCGTGCCAGAGTGGGTGGGACACATGGCCGCTGACTCATGGCACTTAGGGCCTGGGAGGAAGACACACATATTCAGTAGGCAAAGAATTAAGCAAACTGCTTGAACTTGAGCCAGTCGGAGATGGGAAACACCAGTGAGGGTTTGAGGGGAAGTAGGAGTGGGCCCCACGGGGCAGGAGAACCAGGCAGGGAGGGTACAGGGAAATGGCCTTCTGCACAGGGGCAATGCCGAACAAAGGCTTTGGGCTGAGGAAGGACAAGCCTCTTCCTAGGGTGACGGTGAAGAGACCCCTGGCTTAGAGCAGAAGGAACTGGAAGCCGGGGAGAGGGCAGGGTGAATCTGCGGGAGGCCTTGACCATCAGACGCGGAGGATGGAGTTTCTCCGGGGCTCCTGCTCAGCGGCTACCTGCCCAGGAGGCCGAGGGCCCCTGCGTTGCTGGTCTCATACACCGCCACATAGTCCAGCCTGCACTCGTCCTGAGCTTCCAGGCTGAAGTTGTGGAACCGCAGTTCTAGGCCGTGTCCTGCAGGCACCGAGATGTGCCAGGTGCAGAGCTGGGGGAGGGCACGGGTGGAGTCGGTCAGGGTTCCTTCTCCTGTCCCGCTCTGCGCATCCAGGCAGGGCTGCAGAAGGGCTTTCTCCCTGCTGCAGGCCGGGCAGGGTGTGGGTGGGGGCGGCCCACGGAGCTGTCCGCATCGGTGGTGGAAGGGCCTTTGAACTTGTCTGCTCTCAGACACAAGTTTACCCAGCACGGGAACGTCGGGTAAGCACTCAGTGCTGTTCCCTCACTGCCTGTTGGAGCTCTGACCTTCCCAAGAACCAGGCGGCATCTCCCACGCGGTTCCCGGTCACACTAACGCGGGTGTGCAGGTGTGTGTCCGCACGTGCCCCACTGCCCTCCCCGTGGCGCCCCGGCTTACCTGGTGGTGAGGGTACCTCTGCGGGTCGCTGGGGGCAGAGAAAGTGCCCTGGAGCCCAGTCAGATTCCCCCCGCACCCTGCAGAGAGGAGGAGGGGCCCAGGAGTTTGCCAGGGTCTGTGCCTTCGCCCCAGACTGCAGGGGAGAGTTTGGGCCAGGCCCATGAGGAAGCAAGTTCTGGGCCAGGAGAATATCCGGGCAAGTTTGGGGCTGGGCCAGAGCTGGGGAGCCCTGGCCGGACCCGGGTCGGGAGCGCGAAGACAGTACCCGCGCTGTGCCCGGCGGGGCCCGCACCCAGGAACTTGGCACTGCAGCTGGTCTCGTCGCTGCCATCAGCACAGTCAGCAAAGCCATCACATACGGAGTCAGGCAGCAGGCAGACGAGCTGGTCGCAGGGGAACTCGGCGAGAGCACAGCTCCCTGCGGAGGGGCGACGGGATTCAGAACCTCCCGGAGGCTCCACCCCTTTCTCGGGGGCGGGGGTGTCTGGAGGGGAAGGAAGTGGGCGCTTGGGAGGTGGCCAGAGGTGGGGTGGGAAGACGCTCACCGTTCCCAGGGGTCACAGCCTGGTACCAGGCGTGGAAACCAAATCCTTGCACGCTGCTGTCAGAGACGAATGCCACCCGGAGGCGGCTGGCGTTGGTGTTGAGTGTGGGGGGAGGCGCCCTCCCACACACTCTGCAAGGGGCCAGGTTGGGGGTGATGGAGGCTCAGAGCTCAGGGCCAGCCGGAGTGGAGGCTGCCCGGGCCCTGCGGTCCTCTTGCCTCAAGCCCTGACCTGGGGAGGATGGGGTCAAAAAGGGTCCTTTCATTTCCCAGGGAGCTCTGACTTTCCTGACTGGCACGTCCGTCCATCCGTCCGTCTGACCAACCATCCGTCCTTGTGGGCATTTCTTCTTGGGCAACAGAGGTGGGGGCTCCATCGGACAGAGAGGGGCGGTGACCTTCCCAAGGTCACACAGCAGGCTGGTGGCAGAGCTGGGCCCCTGAGGTCAGGTTTCTCAGTTTCTTCACAGCCCAGCCTTTCCCACTGCCGCTCCCCGGTTCTGTCCTCTAGACAGTGGTGCAGGGCAGGGGTGAGATCTCCTGGGGGCAGGGGGACCCACCTGAGGAGGGGGCCTTCAGGCTCAGGGGAGATTTCCAAGCGATCGAAAAGACAGGAGGCCACGCTCTCCATGCTGAGCGCTTCGATCTTGAGCTGTATTGCATGGTCTGCGGCCACCTGGATGTGCCACACGCAGTGGGCATTGGGTGGGTATGGGTCTGGGTAGTTGGGGCTGCTGAAGAAGCCCCTTGGGCCAGGAAGGAGGCCCCCACAGGCTGCAGAGATGAAGGTTAGAGTTCCGAGGTCAAAAGGAGAGAAACCCTTTTATTTCCAAGGCTCCCCTTCCTGCCCCCCCCGCCGCCATCTTGGGCTCTTCTCCAGGAAGATCTGCCCTGAGTACTCACTGGGCTGGGGTGAGGGGCTCATGCCTGCCTCCTCCAGCTGTCCTTTTGGGTTCCCAGATGCCGGAGAGGTGGTGGTGGTGGAGGGGGTGGTGGGGGTGGTGGTCCCACTGGGGGTCAGGCCTTGGGCAGGCAGTGGCTGATAGGAGGCCCCAGACAGTGGTGTAGCCGGCAACTCTGGAGGGGGAGAAGATGGGGGAGTGGGATTCAGAGGAGTCGGTTCCCCAGGGGTGATGGATACAATGGTTCATGGTATGTCATTCAGAAGCCCTTCTCCCAAGCGGGCCTGTTGCTCACGGGCTAGAATGATGGCCGCCAGAAGCCCGAGCAGCAGGACCAACACACCGGCCAGCAGGAGGACGCACAGCCAGGAGAAGCGGCAGTCGGGCTGCAGCCCTCGGGGGCGCCGACCTGCAGGTGGGCGGGTGGGCTGGTGAGAGCTCTGTTCTCGCTCGGGGGCCTCTCTGTCCCCCCCACCCCGGCCCCCAACGCGGGCCACTCCCTGAGACGGTTACCGTGCCAGGGAGCCGGGATGCTGCGGCCGGCGTCCTCCCGAGAAGCCGCTGGAGGGCACGGTGACCCCGATTCAGGCTCAAAGGCAGGATTGCAGAACTCAGTCTGAAAGGGAAAGACTGGGGGGCTGAGGGCCAGCGGCCACGCTGTCTGGCTCGCATGTGCCCCGGGCACGGCCGGCTCTAGGCAGGGAGAGCGGTCCTCTGTGACCCTTACCTTGCTCAGTTCTGTCGCCTCCATGCACAGGATGGTATCTGAGCGTTCCTTCATGGCTCGAGGCTCTGCATGGCTTTCTGGGAGTCCTTGTGGTCACCCAAGACCGCCAAGGGCCCACTCCCTGATCCCAAACTGCCTATCAAAGGGGTAGCCTCTGTCCCCTTTGAGAAGGGGTTGCCAGACTAGACCGACTCTCAGACTGCCCTTGGCCAACTGGTCCAGGCTACTGGCTGCTCCCTGTGCTGGAGAAGGAGGCAGCCAGAAGGAATTCGCAAAGGCATGAAATGGTCCCTTAATCCAACTCAGCTGAGGATGCTAAGGTCAAGGGCTTGGCTCAGGGCAGCAGTCCTTAAAGGCACAGGCCATGGTTGAGAACACCACGCAGAGGAAACTAGGCACTCGTGGGGTGGGTGGGTGTGTGACCAGGGGAGCTGGACACCCCCTTTCCGCACCTCACCCCAAGTACTGAGTGAGTCCCTAAGGGGGGCTGGGAGGGAAGGAGGACCATGGCAGGCATGTCCAAGGCCTTGGAAGCTGGGTGTGAGGGTTTGGCAGCTTTAGGCCTAGGAGCCCTGAGGGGTCTGGACAAAAGCAGCTGTTCTCCCATCCGGGGCCTGGGGCGTTAGCCAAGCCCGGGTCTTTGCGAGGCCCCTGTGAGAGCACCTGTGTGGCCAGGACCCGGAGCTAAGCCAGTCCAGGAAGCACATGGTACATTCGCACTGCTTCTGTCTGTGCTGGTGTGACTAGGGGAGCGGGAGGGGCGGGCTGTCTCTGCCCGGGGCCTGCCGGCCTGCGGAGGAAGGGCAGAGCAGAAGGAGGAAGAGGGGCCGAGTCCTTGGACAGGGTCGGCCTGGGCAGGCCCTCCACTGGGCTGCGGAGCCTGGCAGTTGGTACCATCTGCCGCAGGATAGAAAACCCACACTCTGCAAACTAGACCACTTCATGCCTCTTCCTCCGTGACGACAGTCTCTTGGAAAAATCCGGCCTGGCCCAGCTGTCCTCAGGGAGAAAGCAAAGGGCTTGTTAACCTGTCTTGTGTTAGCCATGCTCGGGCCGAGTCAGGCAGGGCAGGACGAGGGAGGCAGCATCATCTTCGTGGCCACCATTTGCAGAACATTACGTAGTAGGCCCTGGGCAAGAGGCCTTACGTGTCGTTTCCCTCCCTGGGTCACGCTACGAGGGAGCATAACCATCTCACAAATGACAGCACCGAGGCTTCCCCAGGGTCACACAGCTGGTGCGATACAGAGCCAAGAGTGGAATCTAGGGCTAGGGAAATCCAAAGTGTGTGCTTGGCAGGACACACCTCTTTCAACCTCCACTGGGGCCGAGGCCTGTTGGCAAGAGCGGGGGACAAAGTGAGGAACCCAGAGGGGAGAGAAGAAACAAAGGAGATAGATTCTGTGGTCCTCACGCAACTGTCCTCATACTCAGGGGAGACCCTTCGCCCCCTGGTTCTTCTCTATTCATCCCCTGGGGAGCCCTGGGCTGCTTGTATATGGGGGGCAAGACTTTTTCCCCAGACCCTTGGATGGGGACTGCTTTTAGAGGGTTTGAGAGGTCAAAAGTATTTCCATAATGACACTAAAACATTATTTGCCTTTTCATTTGTGAGCACAGAGCAGTTTTCCAGAGGCTGTGCTGGAAGCTTCTCTCTGGCCTTGCTGTTGTCCGTGGCCATCCTCTGGGCAAGGGGAACTAGGGCGCTCCAGCGGTGTCTAGCTCTCTTGGGCTTCGGCATGGCTCCCTCTAACTCCCCCATGCTGACCCCACACAGCCTTCTCTCTCCTTGACTCTCTGGCTCTTCTGTCACCAGGAAGGGCGAGGCCAGCCTGAGCTTGGCTAGAACATTCTGGGACTCCCGGCTCCTTAGGTTTCTCTCCTGCTAGTTCTCTAGCTCAAACTTCCACTCCAGCCAGACCAGCCTCTTCACTGGCCCTGGAACATGCTGTGTCCTTCCTGCTAAAGACAAGTGCCCAGGCTTGTTCTCTCATCGAGAATGCCTTCTTTTTCCTTGTTCCCAGGGCCGGCGCAGGAGGTGTGCATTAGGGTCTAACTCTTCTTCCCCACCCAAATCTGTCAGTCGTCCTCCTCCTCCTATCCTTGTTCACTGCCACCCCTAGCCTTGACCCTCATCCCCTGGTTTCTGGATGTCCCCTAGTCTCTAGGAGCCTGGGAGACTGCAGCTCCTTTCCAGACCACCTTCCGTGATCTCTAAGAGGCAGGCCAAGCTAAATATCAGGCAATCAGAAATGCTCATCCCTTGGATTGGATCGTCCCTTCTGTGGCTCTACTTCACTAACTCTGGTTTGGGCAGCACTATACTTTGCACTCCTGAGCCTTCATCATATGTTGCTCGGAGGAGAAAAGAAGGCACAAGCGTCCTGAGAGGCTAGGGGAACCAAACGTTGGCTGAGCATCACCCCCTAAGGGACCGTGAATGTTGATGGCGCAGTCCTGCAAACGTGGGGGTGTTTGTGGGACATGGACATTTGCATACCTAGTGTGTTCCCAACACAGCTCTGAGTAGGTATTGTTATGCTCAGATTACAGAGGGGGAAACTGAAGCTTGGGGCGATTAAGTAATTGGCTTGGACTGTAAAGGCTGGTCTCTTTCTGCTGCCTCCCGCTCAGGTGCTTGTTTCGGCCTCTAGAGCAATGAAGGACAGGGGCCCTCAGAGGTGCTCGGCCCAGACCCTGCCGGGTCCAGGTCTGTGAAAGATCGTGCTGGTTTTGCTCTTGGGTGTGTGTGGATGGATGGAGTCAGGGAGTTTCCTTGCTACCCTGCTGTTCAGCTCAGTTCCTAACAGACACAAGGCTGGAAAATTTGCTGCAGAAAACCCTGCAAAAAGCTGTCAATTATTCACCCAAAAGGCGAAGTACTCAGAGTACTCAGATGGAAAGAGAACTGTCCTGCCTCTGCCATTGACAAACCAGTGGACTTGAGCCAGCCTTCCCTAACGCTTGTGTCCTCACTGGCCAAATGAGAATGTGGGCAAGGTGACCTCTATGGTCCTGACTCTAAAGCTCTGCAGAAAGGAACAGGTATTTTCTGAGCACTGGTCGTTAAAAAAGAATTTAGAGTAACTCTCAAAAACAGACCAGAGGCACGAAAGGCCCCCCGACTTGGGACTTTGAGGCATGTATTTAGAGAAATGACTTAGGAGGAAGACACTTGAGCTGAGAACTTCAAGGTCCAATCTCCTTAACGCAGATGAGGCACAAGGCCCAGAAAGAGGGACGTTCTTGCTCAAGGTCACACAAGAGAAGTTGCAGGGAGAGAGCCACCCTTCCTCCCCAGGGGGAGGCCTGCTGGAATGCAAGCAAAGAATGGGGGCAGAAATCCCAGTTGCTAGGAGGCAAAGCTGATGGATAAAGAAACACAGGGACAGATTGTGTTTGGGATCTGTGTAGCGCTGGGACCTGTTGCCATGGGAATGAGAAAGCGCCACAGGTTAAGTGCAGAAGGGAGAGCTGGGAGCAAGGGTGGAGCAAGCGGAGGCCCTGCCCGGGGCATTACCTGTAGTCCTCTGCTCCCCTGTGGAAAACAACAGAAACCACCTCTGTGTCCACATCCAGTGAAAAACTAGTCGAGGGAGAGGTGCGGCAAGTTACACTGGTTTGGGACTCACCCGTCCACTTTGCTAGAAGCCTGTTTCCATTTTGAAGACCATCCTGTTGACCTGTGGTTTGGGGGGGGGGGGAAATCATCTGCATTTAAAATCTTGCCCTGGGTCAGGCTGCTTCCAGGGCAGGCCAGGGAGAAATCCTAGGGTTTGAGTCACTGTTTTCCCCACTTCTGGGAAATGCCCAGAAGCAATGCTCCCACCACTGTCTCATCCCATGATGTGAGTTTGATAGCAGGCACTGCTGTCTCAGCAAAGATGGAATAGACAGGCCTTGATTTTCCAGTGTCTGGAGCAGGGAGGCAGCTAGGAAAAGTCCCGATAGAATACTCTAAGTTCAACTGGAGGAGGCTTCAGCTTCCAGAGTTCTAAAATCAGTGGCAGAGGGACGCCTGGGTGGCTCAGTTGGTTAAGCGTCTGCCTTCGGCTCAGGTCATGATCCCAGGGTCCCGGGATCAAATCCCGCATCGGGCTCCCTGCTCCACCGGAAACCTGCTTCTCCCTCTCCCTCTGCCGCTCCCCGCTGCTCATGCTCTCACTCGCTAGCTGTCTCAGATGAACAAACTAAAAAATATTTAAATAAAATCAGTGGCAGAAAGGGGAAGTCTGAACAGTACTAAGGGCTAGAAGATAAAACCAAAGGAGACAAGTCCCTGAGTGCCGCAGAGGCAATCTCTTTAAAGGGTTAAGTCTGTTTAAACCTTGGAAAAAGCACTTTGGAGAACAAGACCTTTAACATCAAAGCGGCTCTTTCTAGGTATTAATAGGGCAAGTTGAAGTCTCCTGTTTATCAAGGGCCAAGTCTTGATTCCTCCATGTCCTGGTACAGCCCCTCTACTCCGAGAGCAAACCTGGTTATGGCCAGCCTCTGCCGGAGCTTGTCCTAGGTCTGTACGGGCACCCAAGTGTCACGGGAACCGCGAGTCCACGTAAAGAAGTGTCTGCTGGCTACGCATTTCTTACGGGTGAAGACGGTGTTGGGCTTACGTGGGAGACGCATGCTGAAGTAGTTAGAGATGGTAGTGACCCCTCACCCCTACGTGTTTTGCCCCCAAGTATCTGGAGACAAGTGTGGCAACCTGTTAACTGGTGAATCCAGATGAATCGAGCATTCAAAATGTGTGCTAGTTCAGTTTTGTAGAGTTGAAAAATTTAGACTAAACAGTGGGCATCATGTTCGAGAACTTGAAATTCACGGTCCAGCTGAAGCAGTAAAAACACGTGGCGACTAATCTGCTCAGAGTGCTTCCTGGGGGCAGGCCCTTCCCAAATCAAGATGCCGTCACTTACCAACTTCTCAAAGCTATTATTTATTCTGTACAAGTTTCCACTGGACATCAGACATTCTTCTACTCTTGCTTACATAGTAAACAAGTGCACATCAGCCCTTTGGCTCAGGTTCACAGGGCTTCCCTGGGGAAGGGGGTCAGGCCAGTTAAACTTGGGGCGTCTTTCTCTGATGCCTCCTTCTGGGAGCACTGGAAAGCTTCAGGCTCCAAGGGGCACAAGCTGGGCCCAGCCGTGTGGATGCACAGAGCTCTGTGCCTTGGTGCTGAACAGCTTTACTCTCTGTGAAGCACCGAGTTTTGTCCAACTACTCAGGGCAAAATCACGCCCGTGGGAAAGAATGGTACAGCTGAGGCAAGATGTCCCCAAACACCCAGGCTCCAGCTCCTGGTGTAGGACTGAAGACTGATGCCAAGAAGGGCTGAGGGGCGGCATGGGCATCCCTGAGAAACTCGGTCCAAAGGGCCTATGTCTAGGAGGCTCTGAGAAGGGGTGGGGGCACGAAGGTAAAGCACGTTAAAAGGGAATAAATTAAAGGTGAGAGAAACTCTAGGGATAAGGGGCTTGTGCTATCCTTCAAACAGCTGGGGGGAGTAGACCAGGGGTGGCTTAGAGGAAGTGGGCAGGAAAAACTTGATACACTACCAGAAGAAATCTCCTTCTACCTACTCTCCGCTCCACCTCACTGCAATGCAAACCGAGCCAGGGGCTAAGGGTATGACCCCCATCTCCCCCAGCGGGGTTGAACATGGCACTGGGGAAAAGGGAACAGGCTGAGGGTATTTCACGGAGGGGCAGTTACCCCCTGGTCCCCAAATGCTATAAGGCACAATTCTTGGAGGCAACTAGATTCCATCCAAAACATTAAAAAACAAAAAACAAAAAAACCCCAAAACTTGTTAGATCCCGGGTCTACTGTGGCTGTGCTTGGGGCCTGGCCAACACCCACCTAGCACCACTGGGGGCTAGCATTAGAAAAGCTGTACTTGAAGAAAAAAAACAAAACAAAAAAACCGACCAGCACAACGTCCCAGCTGTGAAGAGGTGTGAAGGAGAGCATCTCCAGTCTGAAAACTTTAGTTATGGTAATTAAAAAAAAAAAAAAAAGTTGGGTTTCTAAAAATCCAAATCAGCTTTTTTCAAAGTCGTCTCCTTGTCTGTCCCCCTGGAGTTAGCAGCGTTAAGAGGGCTCTTGGCTCATGGGTGTTTCTCTTGCTTCTGGACCGGTGAGCAGGGTCCAGGTGAAGACAGGTGCCAGGTTCGGGCGCCGGTGCTTCCAGGCAGCGATCCTCCCAGCAGGCTCCAGAGGGCGCTGTCTTCTCGGGAGGAACTGGGGGCTGGAAGGGCAGCAAGTGGACCAGGATCTTCTCCCCACAGACCCCCGTTGTTTATTACACACAGGAAAAAAACCACAAGCTTAAAAATAAAAACAAGAGAAGCCGAGGGGGCACTGTGCTGGCTCCAGGCTCTGTGTCCTGTCGATCTCCGGGCCAGGTGTGGCTCAGGAGCTCCCGGCTCCCTGCTCCAGACCCTGACCAGGCTGCAGCAACTCCTGCTCGGCAGCTTTAGTTTACTTTATTTTTCTCTTATTTGTCAGGTTTTTTTTTTTTTTGTCTTAAAAAAAAAAACTTAGGGTGTGGGGCCACCACGGGGAAGGGAGAAAGGGATGTAGCTCCTCGCTGCTACATGCGGGAGGGTGGACTGGCCAATTCGTAGAAGAGCAGATAGGCGTCGCTGGTGCGCACTTGGCTGGAGGACATGGGTGTGACGCTGTGGAGAGAGGGGTGGAGGGATGTCAGAGCCCCGGAGAGGGGGCCACCGGGACACACACGGAGTGGCTGACGGACCGTGAGGGCCCATCGCTCCTCTCCCTAGGTGTCCCTGAAGCCAACCTCTTTTGCTGTCTTCTAGAAATTCTGCAAAGGGGCAGTAGACTCGGACGTATTACACGGACTTTTGGCTCCGACTTCTATCCAAAGTGGAAGCCACACAGGTGGGTGAGATACAGGTGTCTGGCAGCCAGGAGCCCTGCCTGAGAGCTGTCTCACCTGGAGTCATTGAAAGTGTGCCATTCGCCCGTCACTGGACTCCGGCAGTAGGCCGTATAATGGCCGCCCATGGTGGTTCCAGAGTGATTGGACACAGCGTACAGGTTGTAAACAGCGTGGTCTGAGGAGGAAGTACAAGGTTTCAGGCCCCCCGAGCATTCCTTGCCCCACCCTCCCTCTCCTTCCTGCCTCTCTCCCTGATTTTATTTTATTTTTTATTTTTTAAAGATTTTATTTATTTATTTGACAGAGAGATAGCTAGAGCAGGAACACACGCAGGGGGAGTGGGAGAGGGAGAGGCAGGCTTCCTGCTGAGCAGGGAGCCCGATGTGGGACTCGATCCCAGGACCCCAGGATCATGACCTGAGCCGAAGGCAGACGCTTAACGACTGAGCCACCCAGGCGCCCGCTCTTCCTGATTTTAATAACTTGCTCTTCAGTAGCTTCCTTCTACCTCTTGGCCTCTCATCTGGATTTTAGGCACCTGGGCTTTGTTTCTGCCCTCCCAGCTGAAAATACTCACTGGTGTTTTCTGAGGCAAATTCTCTCAAGTCCAGGTCTCTTAGCGGGAAATTCACAAATGTTGTGAGCTTGCTGGTTCGTATCCTGGATTCTGAGAACCGCTTCAGATCTGGGGTTGACGTGAGTCAAGGACAAGAGAGGGTGGCGAGGGTAGTCAAAGTAAAGGGGACTGAGTCCTAAGAGGGTGAAGTGCTTCTCAGAAGCAAAAGAGCAAATGGGGAAAGGAAAGTCTACCAAGTTTCCTTTTTCCTACTCTGTCTGCCCTCAGTTCAGCCCCTTGTCATCAGTCACTACCTAAAGGCAAGCCCTTGCCATGGTGGATGGTAAGGATACGGAGCACCAAGATCTTTGGGAACCTCTGGATGGAGAACTTCTTTATACATCGTTTTCTGGCTCGGCAGCGACAGCATGTCTGCAAGACACGACAAACAGAGCTACAGAGGACTTGGGGGAGAAGTCAGCAGGCCGAGTCCAGTAACTCGTTGGCTGTATCTGCTGGTGACAGGTCTTTCCCAGAGTGGGCTCTTGGATGTGTGCTCCTGATCCCATGGAAGGGGGACTTACTGGCTTTTCATCGCCATCAAGCACATCCTCTTTGGTGAAGAGCCTCATGCAGTCCATTAAAGTTACCTCAGGATAACCTCGCTGGCAGAGACAAAGAGTAAAAGTCACAGAGATCGACGACACAAGAAGGTAAGAGGGGGCGCTTCCAACGTGGGGCAACAGGGGCACATACCTTAGCGATGGGCAGTGAGAGGTCCCAGAAGGGGTCAAAGACTGTAGAGCAGTAACCACAGTCTGTACACGTCAGGGAGCTCTTTAGCTGTCCAACGAAGAGATCTGCAGAAGAGATGGGACAGCAGAGCTTAAACCTGGAGAAGGAGCACACGTCTTCTCTGGGCTGTGTGCCTGCTCCGCGCTCCCGCCTCTGTCCCTGGGCCACCGGGCAGGAGGAGGGTCCCCTGAAAGGAGGGCTCTTAGGGCTTTTCACGCTCATGCTCTGCTCAGGCAAAAACAGTTAACAGAGAAAGCAGGCCTTCCTCCCATTCATGCGCTTACCCCCAATCCGACTGTCTTCCCGTTCTAGATATTTCCTCCACATCTGTCGTCCTTTCTCATCATCACTAGGAACCAGAGAGAGGGAGACAACCGGGTCAGAGCTCATGCCATGAGAAGTTTACGGGTCCATCAGTCTAACTCCTTAATATTTAAAATTCTCTCCAAATTATTACCCCCAAAGAAGTCAGCCAAAAACTCAAGTTCATTCTCCCAGCCAAAAACCCACAGCATTCTCCTCTTACGGAAGATGATCGAGGTTCTCAGGGTTGGACTTGGGCCTCACTGTCACTCGGTTCACCTCATTGTGGAGCCCATCCAGAAGAAAGCGAAGAAACTCCTGAGCATCTTGCTGACTGAGTCCAAAGGAAAGAGAGTGAGCACTACCTCTCATTCCAAGAACCAACCTGCTGTGGCTGGCACCCACCCCGGGGAGGACACGTCTGCAAGGCTCTTACTTATAGCCAACGAAGCGTGGCGCATATCTCTGGATCTGGGTCTTGAACTCAGATGGGCTCACCACCTCATTGGGGGATGAAGTCCATATGGTCTGGATTAGTTTTGCAAACTCTATCGGAAGGAGAGGGTAGAGAGGGGGCATGGAGGACAGGTGAGACATTTTCTGTAAGAAATTCAAACTAGAATTCCACCAAAACGAAGCGAGAGAGAGAAAAGTAGGAGGGATACATATAACATCCAGCTACTAATGTGGCCAAGAGCAGTGCGGAGCAAGTGTCCGGGACAGGACCCCTCACCTTCCATGAGGGCGGTGTGTGCATTGCTGCTGTGGCTGAGATCCCGCATGAAGAGCCTCTGCAGGCAATAATCCCTCAGCTCCCGGGTGTTGCTCAGGCACTGCAGAATGGAGTTCATGAAGCACTGCAAGAGATCACCCACTCCGTAAGACAGCCTGGTCTGCCAGGTCCGCTTACCTAGTACCGGAGGCCCTCTGGTTCATCTACCCCAGAAATGAACGCTCCCACAGCCTCAAGTTCCTCTTCTTACAAGGGAAAGGGGTGTCATGAGGCCAATTCCCACTGCCCGCACAGGTGATGTAACCGGTTATTGACTGTGGAGGTGTACAAACGGGTGTGGGCGAGCTGGACAGAAGTGGGGGGGAAGGGATGGATGTCCTTCAGGAGAAGGATCCAGGAAAGTAGCTGACCGTGAAGAGGGCAACTCCCCTTTAGTAGTGCTTCCTGCTGGGGGCCAGGAGAGAGGCAGAGCGCCAGCCATTCTGTAAAACCCACCAGCCAGGATGGGCAGGTATCAACTGGCCTCTAGAGGATAGGGAGTCAGCAGGAGCCAGGAGGGAACTTCTGGTCAGATGTCCATTGGGACAGTAGGAGGTGGCCTTAGGAAAGAAGTGGGCTGGGAAGAGCTCACCGTGTTCCCAAGGTTTCGAAGACCAGCCAGACCCTGGGCGCTCTTAGAATTCTGTAAGCAAAGAACACATGGCATATGAGGCTGAAGGCGAAGAGGCTGGGCCTGTGCTAGGCTTGCTCATGCAACTATCTGCTAGCTGGAGCCAGGAGCACCAGGCACACACGTTATTCTCTCTTCAACACACAACACAAATATTCTTCAAGGCTTTCCTTTCTCTTGTTGACATGTGTTTTCCCCCGATCTGTACATGCCTCTTCATTCTCTGCCATACTGGAGGCTGGAGATTAGAACTAGAGCCTAGGAATTCGTGTATTTGATTCCCGGCTACAGGGAACGCCGGGTCCCACATCCGGGCACTATCTCAAATGACCCACTTTTCTACCCCTAGATGTCCAATACATGAAGCAGCTGTCGTAACGGGCACTTCAAGGAGAGCTTGAAATGTTCAATGACAAAACATCTGAAGTGCGTTAAAGATCTTCAGCTGGGGAAAACTGAAGTTGGCCTGCCATTCTGAATTATCGGAGACAGGTGGAATTCCTTTCAGCTGAGCTCATCTCCTAAAGGCTGATTAAAGCCCGGGAGAATCCTCCTTGCCTGGCTCAGGTTTCAGCATCCTGACTGGTTCCTAGCTGGGAACCCATTTGACAGGCAGACTGTGGCCACGCAGAGGTAAGCACCAGGCTGAAGGTGCCACTCCTGTTCTTGTCCCTATTGTGGAGGCTGGTGAGGGGGGTTGGAGCGAGACAGCTGCTAGGTCCAGGTCTCTTGGCTAATTCTGGCCCTACCTCCAAGGAGACAGAAAACCTTCGGGCTCAAAGGGTTAAAGAAACAGTGTGCAGATGAGCCTGCCACCCCCTCTCTCAGGGAGGGGACCCGGCAGCCGGCAACTCTGGAGCAACACTGACTGGGGCATGCGTGGGGCCAGCTCAACCCCGATCAGAACAGGAGCCTGAAATAACTCAGCTAAAATTACTCATGCCGTGTGCTGACAGCCTCTGAGGCTGTCAGCAGCTCAAAGCCCATGAGGTTGTCAGCTCAAGGGGGTGGGGTGGGGAGAGGCAGGCTGAAGGAGGGCTTTTCTCAGGAATTGCCCTGCTGATCCCACAAGTAAGAGGATCCCTTCTTGCCAGTGATCAGGTCTAAAACTAACAGGTAGGAAAGGCAATATACTCCAACGAGAGACCTGGTTTCCACCTGCAGTTATCGAGCAAAGCTTATTGGCAGCAGGTGGGCATAAGCATCCTTGAACTCTGCCAGTGCTAGCGGTATATGGCCCCAAACACAGAATTTAAATCTTACCTTTCCGACAGTCTAAACCCTGATGTTCCAGTAAGAGGACCACAACAGAGATAATTCCCTGGACAAAGACCTTATCAGCATTTTCAGGGAAACCTGGAGAAGGACTCCCCCGGGGCCCAACAAAAACACTGAAGTCTCTGAGTTGCCCATTCGGAACTAAACGTTAAAGCCTGTCCACAACAGGATACCCGTCCTCCCCTCCCCCAAGATCCACCCTCACTCCTATTTTTGGCGGTGCTTGTTAGTTCTTACCCCCTGTGCCTCAGACAACATCTGTCTAAAGGGCTGTAGAAGCAAAGCCTGGTGATCATGTCAATGTGCACCAAAGTGGGCCTCCAGCTGAGACAGTCCCTCAGCCCTAATGGGGGCAGGGCAATGGAAAATTAGAGGCGCCTTTGTACCCAGGCACTTCCATGGTGTTGACACTTTTAACTCTGACCCAGCAGTGAGGGGCAAGAACACCACATCCCCACCTACGGTTACTGTTCTTGAGGCTCTACCTCTACTAATGGCCTGGCAGGTGGAGAGATGGGGAAGGCTCCTTTAAGGTTTTGCCCGGACCCTCTGTTTTTCTTTTTGTAGGGGGTGGGGGTGGCTCGTGCCTTTGTCTAAAATTTCCTAAGTTCAAAACTACTTGCCAATTTCTAAGCGCTCTGTGTAGAAGGCGGCTGGATGAGAGGAGTCGGAGGGTGGGAGTGGAGGGGAGAGCAGGGCTGTTCTATGCCCAGCCAGATATTCTTCTGCCATGAATAGGAAATCAGGAGCTCCAGGGAAAGTCAGCACTTTCCATTCCAGAGAGGAACAAAATGTCCCAGGAGTGACCTTTCTTATGGGGAAAACAATCCTACCTCAGGGCCAACAGGGAGAGGCTAGAACTGGAGAGGTCGGGAGAGACCCCACACAGCGAGCCTCTCACAGGGAGAGAAGGAAAGGACTCCAGCGGCTATGTGGAGGGCATGTGCCAAGGCTTGAAAGAATCTGGATCAAGAACTTCCTTAAAATTCGTCGTCAGCAAACCTAACCTTGACTTAGGGGCAACCACTGTTCTAAAAAGTCGATGCCACCTCCACGGTTAGTAAACAGACAGTATTCACCCTCCGTGAAGGAGCAGGGGGCTCAGGAAGAGCCCGCTCGGGCTTAATGGGGAGGAAGCGTTTGAGGAGGGGGGTCATATAAGCAAGGCTGATTGAGGTTTGTGTCTTCACACTCAAGACCCCCGTAAAGGGCTTTCCTGCTTGCTCCACCTGTGCCATGAGGGTCAGCCAGGGGTCCTGGCTGTGGCCAAGGAGCCTGGTGTGGCCCTGGCACGGGGCAGTGCACGCACTGCCAACTCAGGAGCTGGTGCCTGTTACATAAGATCCGTCAAGCTCTGGCCCCTTCTCCCTTCCCCAAGGGGGCAGTGCCCAACCTCCAGCCCCAGCATGACCCTGGGGTGGTACTTCATTTGAGGGATCCACTGCCCACTTAGCAGAACTGGGGGAGGGCCGGAAAGGAAGGGGAAGCTGCCTTCTTTCACCTGTCTGCGACTCCTCTGCCCTTCACAGGGTCAAAGGACCCCCGTTACCAACCCTTCGGAAGAGCGCCCTTTGGGACCAGTGAGGAGGGGGCGGCTCTTTCCCACCAGCCCTTCTTGCTGGGTTTTGGCCTTGGAGGAGTCACGGCCGCAGAGTCCAGCGTGCTGCCGGCTCCCTCACACAGCGAGAACTAGTCAAGGTTACGCTTTCCTGCACCTGTCCTGAGAGGTGCCAGGAATTAAGAGCCCAAGGGCCCGCGTCACGAAGAGGGAGAGGAAGGGGGGGGAACCTCAGGGGCTGGGACCTCAACAAGGGGAGGGGGCCGCGAGTAAGCCTGAGATCACCTGGGGAGGGGGCATTCCTTGCCAGGAGACCCTGGGAAAGGAGGGGTGGGGGCTGGGAAGAATCGGCCCCCCCCCAGCGGGGGGGGCGCGCGGCAGATGGGGGTGGGGGCGTCCGGGGGAGGAGGCGGAAGCCCAGTCCCTCGGCGTGGGGGTCCCGGAAAGGGGCCCCGCGTACCTTGGCTTTGTTGAGCAGGAGCCCCACGAAGGTGGAGAGCAGCAGGGAGGGGGAGAGCGGGGAGCGCGGCCGCAGCTCCTTGGCGAGGGCGGGAAAGGGGGAGGCCGGGGGCTCCTCGGGCAGGGTCACGGTGTACGAGGTGCGCATGCTGGGGGGCGGGCGGCGGGCTCGGCCCCACGCCTAACGTTGGCAGAGGGGGCGCGGGGGAGGACCGCGCGGTGCCACGGCCCGGACGCTGAGGCCGGCGAGGCCGCCACAAGACACCGTCCGCGGCGCCCGGCAGTAACCGCTCCGGCCGTCCGACCGCGCGCTCCTCCGCCTCAACCTCTCCGGCGCGCGCCGCCAACAGCCCAGGCGCCCGGCTCTAGCGCTCCGGCGACTGGCGGCCCCGCCGGCGCCTCGGGCCCCACGACGTCAGCGCCTGGGGGCGGGGCCAGCGCTGCGGCCCCGCCCCCGGGGCCCGCACGCGGCACCAAGCGCGGCCGAGGCCCCGCCCGCCCCCGCGCCTCCCGCGCTCGGCCCCCAGCCCGGGCCGCCCCCCGCCCGCTGACCCGCGGGCCGGGCCGCCGCCGAGACCCTACGTCCCCGGGAAGGGCGGGACGGGCGCGTCGAGCCCCGCGCCGGCCTCGGGGTCGGGACTCAGGAGGACCCCCACAGGACCGTATCAGCCCGGTGAGCTTTCCCCCCGGGCCGCTTACGGTTCCTGACTTTTGGGGGCTGCCGGGCATTTGGCGCACCCGGTGAAAGTTCCGTGCTCTCCTCGGGGCGGGGGAGGGGGGAATGCACTTGCGCACAAACTTTTGCACGTCGTTCGGGGGGGACTCAGGCCCTTTTGGAGCCCGACACCTACACAGCTCGCGAGGGTCGATGGGCCCCTGGGTTAGGAGCATGGATTTCCCTGGCGTCGGTACTGAGCCCGCCCCGCCCATCTCTCCCCAGTCCCGGTTGGTCCCATTATCAAGAGAGGCAGTGCTCCTATTTTATAAGTTACAAGAGGTCACTGTCCCATTTGGCCCCAGGGAAGAACATTTTCTGGCTGCTTCTGTCCAGTTACCCAGCTCCATCTCTCACGGAATCTGAAATTTTGATTTGTTTTGGGAGGTGGGAAGAAAGTACCAGGGCGGCGGGGAAGCAGGTGCTCAGCTGGGTTGGGGGCGAGCGTACTGCCCTGACCCTGAGGGCTTCGATGCTTGAAGAGCAGAGATCTTTGCGTTTTATTTCAGATGCTCCCCACCCCCACCCACCCCCACCCCCTTACCTATCAGGGACCCACACAGAATCTGCCTAGAGAAAGTATCTTGTTTGGAGCGCGCCGGCTATTTTTAGCCAGTATTTTTAGCATTTAAAAATACTCTGAGAAGCAGCAGCGTGTGCTGTTACTCATCTGTGGCCTCCTTCTGTTCCTCTTGGCATGCTCATCGCCACATGTACACGCGCCCTGCACACACGACTGCAGCCACATGGGGAGTATGTCCAGGACACATGTATGGAGTGGGCATGAGGCAGGAGCGGCAGGGCATTCTACTTGCTGGTCAGTGGGGGCACTGGTGTGAGGATGGTGAGCTCCCCAGTCCGTCCTCACTCTGTGACCATTAAATCCCCGGCGCACTGCGCCAGGCTTTCCTCCCTGCTTCCCTCTTTCTAGGCACACCCTTTCTAGTGAGTCCCACAGCGTCTGCCGCAACGCCTGCATTTGGTTACACCACACTTCTGCCCCCAAGCACCTAGAGCACCTGACTCTTGTGTCCAGTCCAGAAGCTGAGGTAGCTCTGTCTGTGAGGCTGTCTGTCCACAGGCTCTTTTCATTGTCATCACCCTCGCTCTTCGCTGATCCCTGCTGCTAACCAACCTGCTCTTATTTCTCTGCTTCAGCACTTGCCTTCTCTCACTTAAAAGACGAAACTGCCACTGATTAAGTACTTACTAAATGCTAGGCACTGGCTAAGTGCTTTATATAGATTATCCCGGTTAACTTGCATAATTAACACAGTGATGTAGGAACTATTATCTCTATTTTCTAGATGAAGGACCTTAAGTCCTGAGAGGCCAAATGACTTGCCAGAACCACAAAGCTAATAAATGACAGTGTGGGGCTTTGAACCCCAACCTGTCTTACGGCAAAACCCGTGCTTTTAACGATTACCAGAAGATTCTGGAATGCTCTTCCTGCTCCCTGCCAATTACCTGCTTGTAAAGTCTGCTCAAAACTTGTGTTTTCCACCAAGCCCCTCTCTACAGAACTCCATCCAGCTCGAAACACCCCATTACTGCATACCCCCCTGTCTCCTGGCGTTCTGCCTTCACTGTGTTAATTTATCTTAATATGTTTATTTTTGTTTTATAAGTGTCTTTAAGGCTTCTGTAAATGGTTTTAGATCCTGTGTGGCTTATGCCATCACACTGAAAGCTCCTCAGGGGCAGGGCTGTGGGTTCTCTTAGTGGGTGCTTAAAAAATGGTGTTGATCTCATCTCTAAGTGGGGGCCAGACCCGGCTCTGGTTGGGTATCCTGCAAGTGCCACTGAGCCTCACAGGGTGGGGTGCGTCCGGATTTGCCCGTTGAATAAGAGTGCTGTGGTGAGCACTGTCTTAACAGCTGCTTGCCCACCGGAGCGTTTGGCCTCCTGCCCCATGACTTAGGCCAGCAATGTGAGTACTCCCACCCGAGGACATCCTGGCGTTCTGCAAGCATGCTCACTCCCTCTTTCCTGGGAGGTAGAAGGTTAGGCGCATCCTAGGAGCAGGGAGGCCCCGATGAGGAAAGCTACCTGCAGGGGAGCTCTTTGAGAAGCCTGGGGTGAGGGGAAAGAATTAATCTAGGGTCCGGTCTTGTCGAGCAGGTCTGACTGCTGTAGGACACAACCAGCAAGGCACTGTGGCTCATTTCTCAACTGGCCAAACCCCCATGACACCCCTTCTCCTCAGTGCCATTTCTTGAAGTGGGATGGGGAAAGGATGTAGTCTTCTGGGATCTGAATCTGGCTCAGGCTCCATGACTCTCTGCCCCAAATATGCTGATCTGATCTGAACAGGACTCATTCCTACAGCCTGAGGCTGCCATTTCTCAGAATCTGTGCTTGGCCTGTCTTCCCTGTGGTTAAGAAATCTTCTTCACCTCAAATCCTTTTTGGCATGGATGGAGTATAAATAAATTAGAGTCTGGGTTAGCTCTGAGAGGGCAGGACTGAGAGTGTATCTGGCTTCCTCAGGTCTCAGTGGTGGCTTGGTTCAAGGGTTTTGGAAACACTGCTCAGACCCAGGCGAATGCTTCCCCGCAAAGCATGCACCTGTCATTACCCTCACAAGTGGATAGACTGGTGGCTTGATTGACTGATTGAACTGGTAGGGGCTCAGAGTCCTTGTTGGGGGTTGGGCTTTCAGGCCACAAGTGCCCCTGGGGACAGAGGACCCTCTGCTTCCCTGCATCAGTCCGACCCCAGGAGGCCAAAAGCTCTGTACTCTTTCGAGCCCTACGGCAGGCTGGCCTCAACCAGCTGGACTCCAGAGGCCCACACACTTCCCTCTCTCGCTTTTATTTCTGTGTGGATGCCAGTTTTACCTATCCATTGAGGTGAGAGGGTGCAGGGGGCCACGTGTGCAACTCCGGGCCCTGAACATGATGTTCATTTCTGTAGCTGCTGGTCAGTGAAGCGGCTCCCCCACCACGGGCAGGGAACATTTTGCCAGGCTTGGATTAACTTCGGCATTGCTGAGCCCCACCCCAGCACCATGTTACCTCATGAAGACATCCTGGAGCGGGGGTGGAGGAGAAGGCAGGGAGGACGATGCTGGGAGCGGACTGAGAAACTGCACCCGGGTAAGGCAGCACTGGGGCCCCCAACCAGGTCACAGCGCATAGCCTATCTTCAAGGGATGGAGACCATGGGTGCCTTGCTGACTCTAAACATAAGCCCAGATCGCCTGTCCTTTCTCAGCAGCTAGTACTGGCCCTGGCCAAGGGACCCTTTGGCTTAAGGTCTCCTCTGAGCAACCTTCCCATGCTGTCAACAGAGATTCAGGCCCTCAGGAAGTTCATCTTCCTTAGGGCGGCTGAGTGGGTGAGGGCATCCCCAGGGTCTCGGGCTGCTAAGCTGGACAAACAAGACAGCGGGGATGCACTTCAGCGTGGCTGAATAAACAGAGAAGGCAGGGGAGGAGAGAGGAAGGTCACACTTCTCCACTTCTCACCTGGGACCTCTAGGACAGTTCCTGCCGCCTTCAACTTGTTCTCTTTGGAGTAACCCCTGCTCACTGCAAGGCAGCAGTTAAGTTCAAAGTCCCACCCAAGAGTAAAATCACATGACCTCCGCTTATATAATCTCCCTGTCACTGAACAGCTGGGAACCCAAGGCTTCGGGAGATGAGTCAGCAGCCCCTTGGCAAATAGGACCCAGGTACTCTAGGTTCCCAGACCTTTTGCTCCTAGCAACAGGTTTCAGAGCAGAGGGCAAGGGTTTGGAAGAGGCCGTGTGGGGAGAATAGGCCGGCAGGCTCTGAGCCTCACTCCCTGGTTTTGCGTCTGAGCAGCAGGTTCTCGGCTTGATGACTGCTCTGGAGGGCCCTGGGCCAACCCCAGCGTTTCTTGGGGGAGAGTGGAGGGTGGCCTGGGCAGGGCAGCGCAGGGCCGGTGTGAGGGCAGGGCTGAGGCTCCAGGCAGAATGCCAGGGCTGGGGAGGGAGCAGTTGGAGGGGTGGAGCGCAGGAGGATTAAGATGGACTGTAGGGCTTAAAGCACAGCCCTGGCAGGGTTCAGTGGGAACAGCTTGTCCTTCCATAGGCCCAGGGAACAGGACAGGTGGGGCGGAGGGGGGCCATAACCAGGCTGGGTGCTTGGGCTCCTGGCTTTCTGCAGGGCCAACCCACCTGGCCTGGCTTGGAGTCCCAACAGGTGATGAATGGGGTGGAAAGTGAAAGCTTTTTTTTTTTTTTTGCCAGTTCTGAACTATCAGCCCCTCCCCTTCGATCTGTCTGCATTTTAAACAGAAGGTGGAGCCTGGGGCAGCCCTCATTATCCTAGGCTGAGCTGCACCCCCCCCCATAGACTGGTGTTTTGTTGGTGCTTATGCAAGCATGGGGGGGGGGGTTCAGAATTTACGTCCCCCCTGTAACAGTCCTTTACTTACGCTCAGCTGAGTCTGTAATATTCTAAGTTCATGTTGGCTGTTGCTATAAATGAAGGGAATGAGCCTGGTTAGAACTGTTCTCCCTGTTTGGGGCCTGCTTTTGACTTTCCTTTGTGAATGTCAACTGTAGTTCAAGTCGGTTACCCAGAGAGCCCCTGGGGCCAGGGCCACCCCAGGGGACCCCAGAGGAGTCAGATCACGCTGGACCCTGCCACATGATACAAGGGTGGTCCCCTCCCCGCTCCACTCAGCTGCCAAATGCCCCTTTTCTGTCTTCTCCTTTTCTACCAACTCTTCCATAGCATTTTATAGGTTTCGGATTCCTTCACGTCCACTGTTTGCTTTGAGCCTCATGACAGCCTGTGAGGTAGGCAGGGCAGGTACGACCCATCCCTTTTATGGATGAGGAAACAGAGCTCAGATGAGAGGTGTCTAAGGTTAAAGAGGCAACCTGTTCCTTTCAGCCTTAGGTGACCCCTCCCTTTCCCACCACCTATGACACCTAACGACACCTGGGGCTGCCTCCTATCACAACTATTATAAGAACTTATT